TCGTGCTCGATTTTATGTCGCTGATGTTGTATTGTTGTTCAGGATGACATCATTCTCTCCATCAACGGCACGGCTGTATCCAGTCTAGATCACGCCGTCAACATCATCCGTAGCAGTACACAGAGGTACGATGATGTGTTCTTTTAAAGTTGTCGGCTTGAGTTCAGCGATTCATGCATTGCCGTACAGTCCTGTAGGGTTCCGAAGAACTGGGGGGTCAGACTCGTAACCTAGGCCATTCATATTTCCATGTGCGTGTATATGCATGCACTATGGTCTTTGCACAGTTGAGTCACCGTGTATGCATTGGTATGCTGTGCTTGGGGAGATTCTAGCCTGTCTTCTTTGACACAGTGTGTGTGTGTGTGTGTGTGTGTGTGTGTGTGTGTGTGTGCGTGTGTGTGTGCATGTGTGTGTGTGTTTGCGTGCGTGCGTGCGCTAAACTCATTTCCAGGTCTTTGCAGTTTGAGATCCAGCGACCACCGGCTGGCGTTTACATTAACGTGGTGTACGCCGAGTCATCATCGGCTTCAGCGTCAGCAGCTGCAGCCACAACCCCGACTGGCGGCGGCGGCGCTGCTGCTGCCAGCACAGCCAACGCTGGTATGCAGACATCGCAATCTAACGCCAGTATCGGCTCAGCATCCTCCGCACCCGCTACTGCCACTGGCACCACCACTGGCCAAGCAGGCTCGGCATCATCCATATCAGCAGCCATTCCCATGGCAACCAGCGGTAACATGGCGGCAGCAGCAAAAGCAGCACGCGGTGGCGAGTCTCCGTCTCAGGGCCGTCAGATGGCGTCGTCCTCGGCAACGACGCCTACCACCATCAATGTAGCCCGGGCGCGTGTGCTCAGTGATGTCGACGCGGTAAGGGTTGTTGTGCCGTGCTGCTGCCGTGGAGAGCTTTGCTTTCGGGTTGCAGGCTCGCAAGTGATGTGTAATTTATCGGAGCAGGCCAGGAACAATATCTCCTTAGTTTAATTAATTGTGTCGATGCACTTCCAGAATTTGTATTGCATATTATGTATGTTGTGTTATGGATGGTTACATGTCCCTTGTCACACTTACTTGCGACATATGCATCTCTTTCTCTGCAAATACTCATCCCTCGTCGCCTGGGGTCAGGCCAGTCCCTACTGGCTGTCGTGTCACCTCCAACTGCTTCGAACCACTCACTCTCGTTTTTTCATGCCAAGAGTCTCATTTTGTTTGCACGCATGTGTGTGTGTGTGTGTGTGTGTGTGTGTGTGTGTGTGTGTGTGTGTGTGTGTGTGTGTGTGTGTGTCCATGCATTCAGGATGAGTACGAGATCCCCGTTCCGGAGACCTTCGATATGTCTCCACCTCGCCACGATGCCCCAGGTATGTGTTGTGTTCAACTTACAAGGGCAACACTGGCTCCATGGTGTGGGGGTGGCAATGGCTCCATGGTGTGGGGTGGCAATGGCTCCATGGTGTAGGGTGGCAATGGCTCCATGGTGTGGGATGGCAATGGCTCCATGGTGTGGGGTGGCAATGGCTCCATGGTGTGGGGTGGCAATGGCTCCATGGTGTGGGGTGGCAATGGCTCCATGGTGTAGGGTGGCAATGGCTCCATGGTGTGGGGTGGCAATGGCTCCATGGTGTGGGGTGACAATGGCTCCATGGTGTGGGGTGGCAATGGCTCCATGGTGTGGGGTGGCAATGGCTCCATGGTGTGGGGTGGCAATGGCTCCATGGTGTGGGGTGGCAATGGCTCCATGGTGTGGGGTGGCGATGGCTCCATGGTGTGGGGTGGCAATGGCTCCATGGTGTGGGGTGGCAATGGCTCCATGGTGTGGGGTGGCAATGGCTCCATGTTGTGGGGTGGCAATGGCTCCATGGTGTGGAGTGGCAATGGCTCCATGGTGTGGGGTGGCAATGGCTCCATGGTGTGGGGTGGCAATGGCTCCATGGTGTGGGGTGGCAATGGCTCCATGATGTGGGGTGGCAATGGCTCCATGATGTGGGGTGGCAATGGCTCCATGATGTGGTGTGGTTAGGGCTTATGGCCGTATTATGAGAGGTTGCAGTCCATGTACAGTACTGTCGGGCGTCGAAGAACGACCAGGCTAGAATTTCACCAAGCACAGCATACCAATGTATACACGAGGACTCAACTGCCCATCGACTGTAATACATGAAAATAAGAACGGTCTAGGCTACGAGGCTGACCCCCCAGTTCTTTGGCGACCAAGAGTACTGTATGCAAAACTGTCACCCTGACTTTTGCTGTCTGAGAACCTATAGTCATAAATTCATTGGAAACAATCATGCAACATGCATGTACTGCCTGTGCAATTATTCCTTGCCACGTGTGTGAGTTTGAAAAAGTCAAAGGATATTCAGCTTAGAAATTTGGCCAGGTTTTACTAGAATAGCACGGGTATGCCAGGGCAAACTGTTTCCTCGGAGCAGGCTGTAGTGTCTGTGCTTAGGATGTGTTCATGGTCTGTGGTGATGAAGAGTGATACTACAGCTGTGCTCAGTGAAATCCAACCTAAAATCCGTATTTGACGCCCTCAATTAATTCCACGGCCCTTGACCTTGCCCTGGAAGTGGTATGCATGTGGCTGGACGTACACATGCACAATACAGTGATGTATTTGAAACTAGTCCAGGGTGCCAGTTTTGCACTTTGGGTTAGATTGCATTGAGCGGCGCAACTGCACATGTTGTGCTAGTTGAAATCTAACCCAAAGTGCACTGGACGTTCCCGACCCTTGATGCCCTGCGAACAAATGTCACTGGACGTACATATCTCCACTACAGTGCTGTGCTGTGCTGTGCTGTGCTGTGCTGTGCTGTGGTGTGCTGTGCTGTGCTGTGGTGTGCTGTGCTGTGCTGTGCTGTGCTGTGGTGTGCTGTGCTGTGCTGTGCTGTGCTGTGGTGTGCTGTGCTGTGCTGTGCTGTGCTGTGCTGTGCTGTGGTGTGCTGTGCTGTGGTGTGCTGTGCTGTGCTGTGCTGTGCTGTGGTGTGCTGTGCTGTGCTGTGCTGTGCTGTGGTGTGGTGTGCTGTGCTGTGGTGTGCTGTGCTGTGCTGTGGTGTGCTGTGCTGTGCTGTGCTGTGGTGTGCTGTGCTGTGGTGTGCTGTGGTGTGCTGTGGTGTGCTGTGCTGTGCTGTGCTGTGCTGTGCTGTGCTGTGCTGTGCTGTGCTGTGGTGTGGTGTGGTGTGGTGTGGTGTGGTCGGAACTGCTCCAGGACACTACTACGCACCCAGCATCGCAGTTTGGGCTGGGGTGTTGTCCAGTGGTGCTGTAGACAACATGTGATTCTTTCCTTCAACACGCTCACCTTGATGCCAGTGGTGGTATCATTCACTTGCAGGTCGCCAATGGCCCGGTGCAAGTCTACAGCACCGAATACCGTATTTCCTCGTATATACCTCTTGGTCTGTCAAGCCAAAGCCTAATATTAGGCTTTTACACATTTATACAAAAATGCGGGAGTTTTGAACTTCAGATGCAGCCATACATGCTCCAATCCATTTGTTTATCAGCTAAGCACTTCGTTCTGGAAGAGAATAAACTTCACCACCAAATCATGAACACAGAATGATCCTCCTCGACTATGCTACGTGCACAACAGCGAACATCAGCAAATTTAGAGCTAAGAACAGGTGCTTCATGAAGCCTGATATGCATTGCACTGATGTAAAAGTGAAAAATCAATCTGACTCCATGCCTCAACACCTTTGAGAAAGAAACAGCGGTCAGCACACAAGATTACCTACAAAAAAACATCATAGATGTAGGCCACCATGCATGAGAGATACGGGTGCACTGACATTGCAAAGTATTACAAGTATCACTTCCAGAAATGCAGTCGCAGCAAGATAATGACAAAGGGATTGCATCTCAGTAGACCATGATTATTCTGACTACACAAGTCAATGTCTACAATGGCCAACATCTACTAAGTTACGTATGCCACACTTCTGAGCAGGTGACGTGGAGGCCAACATCGCACTGAGGCTGACTGAGCGCATTCAAACTTTGTGCGAGCACGCTTCCCGCCTTCTTTACATAGCACACAGTCGCGTTGAGGAAAGCCGGCTTTGCTGCCTTGGACGGGTCGCAAGGTATGCTTGCCGACAAGCCTTGACGCTGGTCGTTCTGCCGTTGCTTCCGATGATCTCCGACGCTTAGCACCGGCACTGGACGCGTGCTTGGCCAGACCTGCATTCGCTTCCAGCAGCTGGTTGGCAAGCTTGGTCATGAAAGCCAGGTGAGTCAACGGTGGTTCTGATGTGGCATGGCCAGCCAATCCATGTTTATGCAGAAGGTAGGCGTTGACTGTGGCCGTGTCTAAGACCCAGTACAAGATCGCATGCCACCACTTTGTGCACTTGATTGAGCAGCTGTAATAGTTACGGAGCTGGTCAGCGATATCAACTCCATCCATGAACGCATTGTAGTTATGGATGACGTTGAGCTTGGTCAGCTCAACGTCAACAGTCTCAGTGTTGCCTGACTGCGGGTTGAATCTCACCCTGGGCCTTGTGAAGGTCACATCCTCCAGAGTGTGATGCGCTGTGGTGAGCATGGCAACTGGTTTACTGTCGTAGTAGGTCAGGGCTACAACATTGTTTCGCGCAGCCCATTTCGTTGTGCCTTGCGCGTCTTTCGCCGCTTGCCCTTTCTTGACCGGCTGCTTCACACACGTCGGCACACGATCCGCCCTTGCAGTGCACGTGTAGAGTTGCCCGCGTTCCAGGAGGATCTCAGCAAGTCTCGTGTTCGAGTACAGGTTGTCAACGAAGACATGGTGACCCTTGCTCGGCAGCTGCTTCATCAGTTGCACAACGGCATTGAAAGTCTTGCTCAGGTTGGGCTCCTTCGGAATGAACGGGTCAAACTGGAAATAGAAGCTCCAGGTGTATCGACTAAAATAGTGCGGGTCACACAGGGCATACACCAGGAATCCATCGCCAGCGCGCTTAAATTTGATGCACGACTTGTAAGCGCTCCGGCCCTTGA